AGACAGGGTTCTCTAGAGAGATAAAACCAAATTGCTGGTAATTTAATATATTTCTTTATAAAGACAATTAGATATATAACAAGAAATGAACTGTTAAATCATATACAGTTAAATATATAATACAAGAAAGAAACAGTTAAATTATAAAGCACTACAAATGGCTCAATTCAACTCACTCCCATGAGAGACTTGTGAGAGACTAGCAGTCCTTCAAGTCCTGTCTGCTGCCAGATATTCCTCTATTTATAGAGAGAGCTAGGCTATGTCAGCACAGCAGCCAATCACAAGGCAGGTCACCAACTGCCAGCCAGGTCACCAACTGCCAGTCCCCAGCTTCAGCGATGTCTTAAAGGGACCTCAACTTACAGCGACAGTCCACAGGCTAGGCATCGCACAGGTAGTGTAGCCTTTAAATTGAGGCACAGGACAAGCAAGGCACACTGGTCCGATGATCAAAGAGCAAGAGACAAGAAAGGCGAGACTCACCAAGCCATTTATCTCTCTGCCCTTCAGTTAATCCCACTTGTGTTTATCGGCCAGGTTGGCACAATAAACTATCTCACCCACTGTAGAACGGGCCTGGTGAGTTTCCTAGACTATAGCTCTATACCAGAGTAGAAAGCTTATCTTTCTTTCTTGAAAGGGCTGGTGGCTGCAGACTGCTGACCTTTCAGTTAACAATTCAATGGGTAACCCACTATGATACCAGATCTCCTCCCATTAACCTTAGGAAGTATAACTTCACTCAACTTGTCAATAAGCTGAAAAATATGTATCTGAAACAGTGGTCAAAGGAAATCATTTCTTTCAAATGCATTATTTCATCAAATTCCAAATGATACCTGAATTACATTTGCTTTTAAGAACAAAACATCATTGGTAGTAAGAAATGTTTGAGATTATATTGTTTCTTTGGCTATTAACAAAGATCAATTTGGTTTGAACATCTACCCCAGCACCCTGGCTCCCAGACCTACCACATGGATTTATAGATTGATTAATCAAGCAATCTACATGGAAAGAAACAAGAATGCTTTCGCTTTATTATGTTTTCTGGTGTGTCTAAGAGAAAAAAATAAATCATTATGGATTTTGCAAAGTGCATTTTTCTCTTTCTCTCTAATGAGAAAGTGAAATAAGAGACATGCATTTGCTCCCCAGAGAACGGCACAATTTACAAAGAATGTCCTTCTCTGAGGTGTTCACTGAGCCTAGCCAACCTCATCTTCCTTTTGGTGGCTATATCTGGGCCCCTGAGGGCCACTCAAGCCTTTTCTGGTTAAGGAGTTAAAAAAGAAAGGGGAGAGGTTAATTTTTTAAATGGCTGCTTGAGAGGTACCCCGTTCTTTACTGTGTTGCTGGGTCACAAGACAGATGTCCAAGGACACAGCTAATAATGGCTAATAATAAGAAGCAAATCCACCACCTGGCTGTAACTCATAGGAGTTTCATCACCAGAGGCTTACTGTCCAGAAAGAAGACAAGAAGAAAAGAAAAAAAAGGAGGAAAGAAAAGACTGCTTCCTCGCCTTTAATGGAATGAGGGCTAGGCCTCTGGAAGGCAAGTCAGTCCTTCAAGAAAAAGAAGGTGGCTGTTAGCTCAGTGATTGTCCAAGTCAGAGCATGCACCGTGTGGCCTGAGAGGCCTGCACCGCCACTAGCTGCTGTCACTTGTCACATATAATTACTGTAAAGTAAGCATCTTTAAATGTAAAGTGCAAACCCATGCGTGGCAGCTCTAATGTAATCATGGTAAGTTATATTATCACGGGTCAGGCGCACGTGAACAAGAAACCACAATGGTCTCAAGACGTGATACAGATTTCTTTCTGATAACTCATGCTGCAACCCTATCAGAAGAGTGAAATAAACCACTAAAAAGGACAGGTAAAAATCATTTAAATATGAACTTGGAAAAAGCTGGTTTAGTTGTTAAATCAATGCATACTCTGCTCATCTTGGTTTATTTCTTCCTGTTAGTTCCCATATGCAGACAAAATAATACGCATTTACTTCTACCCCCACACAAGGTAAACAATTCATTCCCCATGAAGGGGATTTTCCTCTGAGATAACTGTGATATTCAGAAGTACCAGTTAACCACAATGCTAGAAGTAACTTTACCTGGCCTGTCACTCAGGAAAATCATCTCAATTGGCCATGACCCTTGTTCTCTTGTCAGTAAGAGATCCCCTAAATCACCGTTGTCTCTCTCTGAAATGCTTTAAGTGACGAGCTCAAGAATTTCAAAACTGGGACTGTGGATAATTCAGTGGCATTGAATAAATTCAAAGAGATGCATAACCATTGGCACAATGAATTTTAAAACAGAGACATATCTTTTAAACCCTGTCACTCATTATAAAGAGAGAAAGCCAAGGTCCAAAGGGGTTCAGTCACTCTCCCACAGTGGCAGAGCTGGTCAGTGAGTGGCAGAACCCAGTCTGGGTCCCAGAGAATAATTTAGCTCCTGACATTGATCAGGACTCAATTTCCCTTGCCTCTCGGAAAGTTCCACACGAATTCTAATCTGCTATGCAAACATCTGAGAGCAAGGTCCGGCATTCTTCATTATCATGTGGGTCATGGTATGCTGCACCATGCTATGTTACGTTCCATGCCGCCAAGTCAGCTCCAGCTCAAAGCATCCCTGTGCACAACACACCATAACAACACCCAGTCCCGCACCCTCCTCACAAGCACTGCTGTGTTTCAGTCCATTGTTGCTCCACTCTGTCCATCCATCTCGTCCAGGTCTCCCTGCTCCACTGCCCTTCTGCATGCTCAGTATAATAAATCCTGTCCAATTGCTCAGCCAAAATCTACTGCGCTGCACGATTTCTTAGAAAGACTTCCACAACAGATGTTTAAGTAACAATTGAATATTTAAGCAAAACAAAAACAAAGTTTCAACCATAGAGTTCGGGAGAGGGGGAGAGGAATCTATGATGTCTTTCTTTTCAAATAAAATCACAAACTATTTCAGCCCCGTTTCACACACACACACAAAAATCACAGCTAAATTAGACCTGCTACTCATTTTGTTTTTCAAGTTCACAGTACCTCATCACTCACAGGGTATCGCTTCGATGCAAACAGATTCCTGGGATTTTCCACCATTCACTCTGGTTGACAGTCAGAAACCAGCTTGAAGCAACCAAGGGCTTGTAGCTATAGCTTCTCTCTGAGATTCATTCTTAACACTTTGCACCCAAGAAGACAGACTTTCTCAAAAAACACGGAAGCTGATTCCCTGCCAATGCTAGAGAGGCCAGCAATTACAGGCGCTTCCCTGACTACAGTGGCACCAGATCCAGGCAGCAAGTACAGGCTCTTCCCTGACCACAGCGGCACCAGGTTCAAAGATTCTTGGCTGATGACTCAGAGCAGCACCTGTTGATGGCTCTTGTCACAAAATGCTCCCCCTCTCAGGTGCCCTGATGCTTTCTTTCCACTCTCTGGGGTTCTGTTAGTTCTTTCCTTCCTGTGCTTCCCCACTCCCACCCCCACCCCACCCCCCAACTCATTCATTCAATAAATATTGAGTAGTCACTGCTCATCAAGCACTGAGCTGAATGTAGTTCTAAATATGGGCACTTCCTTTAGTCTGCATCAAGTCCACTGTGCATTTTTTACCTACATTCACACTTTGATTTTTAAATCTTTGGGGGTGGAAACCCCTTAGAATCTGTAGCTCTTGGCCTTATCTCCTAAACTGCAGGTCAGGAGCTTCGCCTACATGTTCCATGGTTAATGACAGGGTGTCCGACAGACACCTAAAGTTCTGCGTCCAGCATGAATCCACCATTTCCACCCAGCATCCCCTTTCCCAACTAGCTCCTCCTCCTAGCTCCTTATCGGCCTGCGTAACACCACTGTCCACCCAGTGTCCCCAGTCTCCCGTGGAAGGAGTGTGGGTGCCTTCCAGCACAGTCCTGAGAATCCTCTCCTTTCAGCAGTGTCCCCGCGCCAACGGAAGAGATAGCTGACCACTGCCACAAATGGAGATGCTGAATGAAATGTACCCACCCCTGCTTGCGGTGGGGAAGGGCTGCTGGGGTTGTGTAGAGACCTGATGCCTAAGCATGGGTGGGGACAGGCTTTACGATGTGAACTCTGCATTGGCGGGTAGCACCGAAAATCTTAAAATACAAAAGTGTTTCCTCTCAAAACCCCTTTCCTCCTTAAATGCTGGAGTCCAGACCTCCAACCAGGATTCCTCTTCCTACTTATACTCAAAAAGAAGTGTCTCCTCCTCCGGAAACCTTCCCTGACGCCCCCACTGTGTTATCTGCCATCCTCTGTGCGGAGGTGTGTCTGGCACTGTTTGTTTACATGTCTGTGTCCTGGTCTCCTGGCCAGGCTGGAGCCTGGCGCCTTGCCGAGCGCAGGCCACCACGGGGAAGAGGGTCAGGAGAGAAAGGGGGGCAGTGGAGCGCCCCAGCCCTGGAGCCAGGGGCAGTCGAGCGCGCGGTCCATTTTTGAGGCGCGCGCGGGAGGGGAGCGCTGTGGGGAGCCCGGCAAGGCGCCAAGTACCTGCTGGGCACCTCGGGCACCTCTGAGGTCTGCTGGGCAGCCAGCAGATGACGGGTCGTGGCCCAGGGCGCTGCTGGCCGCAGCCAGAAGACTGGGAGCTCCAGGGAAGACCTGCTGGGACCGCGCACCTCCAGGCGCAGGTCGCGGAGAGTCACCATCGGGGCTCCACGCCTTGGGACGCCCACGATTCCATCACGCCCGGGACACGACGGCCCGCCACCCGCGCCGAACCCCTCGGATTTACAGCCACTGGGACAGGGGCGGGGACGGGGGGCCTAGGGGGAAGGAGGCGCCAAGGAGCAGAGAGGAGGGCAGGCTGCCCCTCACCCACCCGGGCGCCCTCCAAGGCGGGAAGCAGCCCAACCCTGGGAGAGGCCCTTCCGAAAGCGGGACCCCAGAGGTCCAGGAGCCCTGGAGGCATGGCAGCCCCCCACCGCCCGGCCGCCCTCCTCTCTGCCCCCCTACCTGGCTGGCTTTGTGGAGCTGCTTCCTCAGCCCCGTTATGGACATCGCGACTGCTAGGTGGTCTCGGGGGCCGGGCCGGGCCGGTCCCCGCGGTCGCGATGCTGGGGAGGGCGCGGGCCCCCCGGCCGGTCCCCGCGCGGCTGGGCTCCGCCGGGCCCGCCTCCCACGGCCACGGCCACAGCCGCTGTCACAGTCACACAACCACACGCGCGCACGCAGATGGCAACACGGCGTTCCAAAGCCCCTACGCAGCCCATTGGCCAGGCCTCGGCAGTATGCAAATGAAGCCGCTGGGGCCGCCCACGCTTCATTGTTGCGTGGAGACTGGGAAGACTTGCACCGCCTGGAAGAGGGGCTCGGCCACTGTGCGTGGAGACGTCTCCCCCAGGAGCTGGGTTACAAAAGCGTTCTTGCTGGGCACAGGACAGGATGAATCGGACTCTGTCCCTGCCAGAGTGGAGGGAAAGAGAGCCCTTCTCAGCGCCTCGGGAACTTGGGGTGGCAACCTTTGCTCAGGGGTGCGTTTCCGTGTGTTTATGTTTTGAAACTGGGAAGGATCTCACGATCTACATATATCTGGAAATATTGGCCAATGAAAACCGTGTGAATAGTAGCAGCAGATCAAGTTGGAAGGCAGTCAAGGTAGGACCAAGGAAGGGCTGCCTCCTCAGAGTAGAATTGACCATAAGCGATGATGCGGAGGCAAGAGCTTTTACAGGCTTCCTTGTGCTGATGGGGCGTGTGTTTTGTGAGATGGAGGAGGACTTTGTGGATTGGTGTCGGACATATGGGCTAATGTTGGATTTGTGGGCTTGGGCAACACTGAGTTGGGATGTTTTCTTGATGTGCACTTACCCTTTTTATAAAACTCTCTCTTATAAGTATGAGCTTCTATGGATTTGTTTCTCTAATGTAGCCAGACTAACACACTCAGCTTTCTACTGCATAAACAGTACAGTCTAGGAAACCCACAGGGGGGTCGCTATGATTCAGCATTGATTCAATTGGCCGTGCGTTTGGTCTTTTGGGAGTGGAGGTAGAGAAGGAGCCTTAGTGGCTGAGTAGATTATATATTGGCTACTAACCATGAGGTCAGCCACCCAACAGTGGCTCCTCAGGAAAGATGACGGGTTTTCCTTCTGAAAAGACTTACCGCCTCAGAAACCCAAAAGGGCAGTTCTCCTCCATCCTATAGTGTTGCTATAAATCAGAATCCATTCCATGGCAATGACTTTGGTGGAAGGAGAAATGCATATCATCACTCAAAGCAAGGACGGGCTGACTGGAATAAACTATCATCCATTCATATGCAAGTTCCTGTTGAAGCTGAAGAATACTAAAGTCCAAGAGAGGCAAAGAATAACTTTGAATATATTCCACCTGAATTTAGAGACCATCTGAGGTAGTTTCTTGTGCCAACCTGGCCCATAAACACATGTGGGATTAATTGAAGGGCAGAGAGATAAATGGCTTGGCGAGCCTCGCCTTTCCTGTCTCTTGCTCTTTGATCATTGGACCAGTGTGCAGTTGCCTTGCTTGTTCTTTGCCTCAATTTGCAAGCTACACTACCTGTAGGACACCTAACCCGTGGACTGTGTCCCTGTAATTTGAGGTTCCTTCAAGACCTGCTTCGTCACACGATTGGAATTTACACCTCTTGAGCTGGGGACTGTCAGACCCTGTCATCTGGCTGGCTGTTGGTGACCTGCCTTGCTGTTTGCTGCCTGTGCCCCAATAGCCTGAATGGCTCTACAGAGGACTACCCAGCAGCCCTCAAGACTTGAAGGACTGCCAGTGTCTCACAACTGCCTCACAGAGTGAGTTGCACTCAGCCATTTGTACTGCTTTACAATTTAATTAACTGTTCATTTCTGATGTTATATATCTATATATCTGTATAAATATATTATCATTCTGGTTTTGTTTCTCTAGAAAACCCTGTCTAACACACGGTACCAGGAGTGCTTCTAGGGAAATAAAATCATAAATATGGGCTTCTTAAATTGGCTCTCCAGCCTGAATAGTCTTCACAGCACTAACAATGCTACTTCTATGCCCCAAAGCATGGATAAGTCTACTACTCTTACTAATCCATGGTGTGAAAAAGCAAAGCTAATACCTACAGTAGCACCACCGAAAGATGAGGTGCTGGTTAAAGGAGAGGCTCTGAGTGATCGTATGTTTGATATTTTCCAGGAGTTTTGTCAGGATGACAAGTATAGGGAAGCTGGTGGGCTGGTCCTTCTTACAATGGAAAGTGATTAAGGAGAGGGATGGTCTCAGAGCCTCAGAAGCGCGCTTTCAGTGCAGACTAACGGATTTAAAAACTTCCATCTGTGCTACGAAGGAGAGCCTTCCCCCCTCTAGCAAAAGCTGTCATTGTTGAGAACCAGGTCCAGAGTCTCATTATGCGAGTGGCTGAATTACAACAGCAGCTGAATTGCAGATCTAGAGCAGTGTCTGATACCAAAGTGAGGGCATTGATCGGGAAAAGTTGGGACCCTGAAACATGGATGGGAACATTTGGGCTGATGATCCAGAAGAGGAGGATATTGAGCCCTTAGAAACAATTGACCCACCCCAGTCAATAGATCCACCCCTCCCAGCTGAAGGTATTAATTCACTCTCAATTAAACAATCCACACCTGAGCAGATTAGCCAAACTCTTCAAGTTGATATGCCAGGT